TAGCTGAATGCCTACGATTCAAGGTCGCCTCAGCTAGCTCAGCCTCACGAGCGATGACAGCCCAAGAGTGAACTTCCTGGGAGAAACTCTTCCAAGACAGGATATCAGTGATGTCAAGGTTAAGGCCCTTCCACAGTTTAACAACCTTCGCACGGTCTGATTCATCACCCAGGACGTTGTACAGGTTTTCCAGTTCATGAGTGAATACCTTCACTCGCCGTCCACCTTGACGGCAGTTCTCAATCTCCTTCCGAATCTTTTCACGGAAATCAATAGGAAAACAATAGTCAAACATCTCTCGGAAGAAGGTGCCTAATGTCCACTTTTCATAATTTCCACTGACAACTACATCATAGAAGTCACGGGCTGTACCATCAAGGAAACGAGATATATTGTACACATCTCGGACTGGATCATCATCAAGAACTTCAAGGTATGATTCACAATCTTGCATGAATCTATTAACCTTCTTGACATCCTCTGATCCTGAATAGACCTTGGGATCAATGGGCCTGCGTAAATGAACATCTTTCGATTTGCCTTTATGCTTACGATGTGAATGAGATTTACGTTTGCGATGCTTCTTCTTCTTCTTTCCATTAGAAGTAGATGAGCTCTCATTGTCCGAAGAGGAACCACTATCAGACGAGGAGGATGATGAAGACCCAGATGGCGATGGCGATGGCACCGCCTGTCCCCTTCTTCTTTCACCATTGTTGCCTCGATGAAGAGTTCGTCCCAGGAAACTATTGGGAGGCACCTGGCTTGAAGCACGCCATGGTTCATTCATGGGGGTAGTCAATGATTGATGAGGCTGTTCAAAGTCAGCCGGTACACCCATTGGAGTGCTATGCACATTACCTGAGGTTGTGCTAGCTGATGGTGGTGTCACAGACTTAGATTTGCCCTTCTTATTACTTGTAGAGGCAATTCCCTGTGAACCAATTAAACTATGTTCAGGTGGAATGGGTCCAATCCACTCAGCATCTGCATACTTCTCTGGTATTGGGTCATCATAATCAATGATATCCTCAATCCTAACAGTACGACTGTGCTTAGGCTTTTCGTTATGTTTCTCTGGTTTGTAAGGGGTAGAGGTAGTGAAGCTCTCCTCATTATCCTTATTAGATTTAGACCAAAGTTCAGAAGCCACAATGCCTTCGTATATTGCCCTTTGAACAGCAGGGTCCTCATTCTGAATGGACTGCCAGTGTTCCAAAACTCGACGCTGATTATCAGGGTCAAGTTCTTCTTCATTGAGGCCGGGTATACCACGACCACGAAATTCAACAGTCTTCCCCTTGGC